TTTCTTGTTTTCATATCTCCGATTTTACTAATCATTTTTCAGTGATTTATATGTCTAAATTACGTTTTAGAATGTCATCTTTCATCTTGTCATGGAATCGTGCAATTATGGAATTTGCAGAGTGAGATACAATTGATCCGAACGATTTCGTTAAGTTTGTGCACAGTTTCACATCACAAGTCAACACATAACATAAAAAATAAACTTTTTATGTTGGATGGTCAACGTCCACCACAGTATGGGTACCAAATGTGATGATTTTATCATATTGACACCTACTATATATGGTGGGTGTGACCTTTGCCCGCGATAGAAAATGCAATTTCTATGGAGGGTGTGACCAAACTAAACATTTAATGTTACACATTATATGATGGGTAAGGTCACACTTGTTATAGAAAATATAATTTTTTAATATTTTATTCGTTTAATTAATTCCCCAAACTTGTACAGAATAAAAACCCAGCTAGTTCAATACAACACATGATTGTTTAGTTGAATACATACCTATATAATGTATAATATATCTCGTTTAAATTCAAATAATATAAAAAGTAAACTAGCTAATAATTAAAGAGAGTTAACAACAAAACTCAATAAATACTGTCATTATTTATTAACAATGAACAATTACTATAAGAATGTACCAATGTTATCAAATAATAATGTAACTAAAGTAAACTAGCCATCAAAGTGTTATATGAATACCAATGTACAAAAATAAAACTAAAACAAAGTAAAAAAACTAAATGCCATCCTCAATGCCATCTTTTGCGAACATCCTCTAACTTTTTATCGACAAATGGAGTTGGATTTTTGAATAGCTTCCAAAATTCAAAATAAAGATAACTTAACCATTAGTTAATCATTAAAGAATCATTTAACCCTTTAAAGTAATTAAATAGATTTAAAAATGTATTACCTCCCTCTATGAGCCCTAATGTTGTCGGTAATAATGGTGAGCATGTGCTTTAAGTCTAAATATTCTCCCATAATCCTTCATCATGGTCATCACATGTAACATGTACATTGTCAGTCTCATTGTCCACATTCAACATAGGCATGTGTGTGGAGAAGGAAGAGGTCTCACAAATGTTAAGTGTTGAATCTTCATGGCCATTAGTGTCATGTATATATGTTTTTTCCTTATAGAACAATTGACTAATTTTTGTTAGTAGGATCAGTAACATAAAAAAACTTTTTTTGCTTGGTCTTCCATGATGAATGACTCAACGTACCTTTTATAGGTTAAACAAGGTAAAACTTAGATCATTGATCTTAACTCCAGTCTTATAGTTAATCCACTTACACTTAAAAACTAGCACTTTAAAACTTGTGTATTCGATCAACCATATGTCTTTAATGACTAGGAAGTAACATAAAGATGTTGTAACCAGATTTGGGTCTTTGGAAGTTGAGAAATGTTGCGACTTACCCACCACTATAACCCCACTATTTTGCATGGTACTTTAGAGATCTTCCTTTTCCAGTGAAAAATGTGTAGCTATTGATATCGTACCCACCCTAATATATAACATCAAAGTTAGACTCTAGTGCTAGCCATTTTATTGTTTCAGAAGTTGTATTGCCATACTTAATTTGGTGTTTGAACCACTTTGAGAATGTTCTGTTATGTTTAATAATCAACAATTTCTCAAACATTCGTATATAATTTTTCTTCACAATGTCCTTGTGACCAGTTAGATATGGTACAACTTTATCAATGTTATTTAGTATATACAAATATGTTTGCAACACTTCTTCTCGCAAGTAGCTCACAATCTTTGCACTTTATAAGCATTTACCAACAATTCTTGTAACAACAAGAAATATAGTCAACAAAAATCTTATCAAGTTTAAAATGAAACTTAATCTCTCTCTTTATACACACATACACACACACACATATATATATTAATCAACTATAAAAAAAACATATATATTTCCAAACTATCTAAATAGACATTTTAAGTTTCAATATGATGATTATACAATAATTGTGTAACCATTGTATTCAATCTTAAATGAAAAATTAAGGTTCACTCACAATTGGTTAATCCTAACAACTATAATAAAATTTAAAAATTAATATTACTAAACCTTATTATAAGTGATGTTTGGTGGTACTAAAACATATATTAATACACTAATCATATACCTATGTGAAAACTTGATATCTCATATCTATAACAGTCATCAATCTACTCACACACTAGTCTTAATGTATTATTATTTTATATATTAACAATAATACTTGACTAGGGTTCTTTAAGAATAATATAAAATATTTCATAGACTTTATCATGTTCATATGCATATTATAAATGACATATCTCATTTTATTAATAGATTTGAGTAAGATATAAGCGTGAATCATATAAAAAAGTATTGGTTTTAAGACTATACACCGCCATTTTCATCAAAACTAATCAATTTTAATTGGTTTGTATTAGTTTGATATTTTTATTTTTTAGTCTCCAATTTGAAACAATCCAATCCAATCATATTTGATTAAATTCGGATCGAATCATTGAATTTATTATTAAAATAATAAAAATAAAAATATGGAATTAATTAGATTACTTGTAAAGTACGTTATCATGCCATCAAGTCTAACTGATAAAAATTTTGATATTACAAATTTGTATGTCCATAATATAAAATATCCTACTTGTTGGAACCCGAAAAAATTTCGATCTTGCTCACAGATGGTTTGGACCAACAGTTTAAAAATCTCATTAGCTTTGAAATGCCCGAAGGCCGTACTAACTCTCCATTTGATGGTTTTGAAAAGGGTTCGAAGGAGTCGTCACTGATATTTTACACAAAACATCAGAAAAAGAAAAGGGTTTTCAAAAACATTGATTTGGCCTTTATAACTAGAATCAGGCTTAGGGGTTGATTACGTGTGGATAAGGTGTTAGACATCCCATAATGCCAAATTCGGTACCCTATGAAAAATTTAGTATAATAACAATGTAATTGAATTTCTACCCTTTTTATTTTATTAAAAGTACAACAATTTATATTAACCCTAATCTACAACACGCATATTACTTTACCATCTACATGGTGTCTAATCTATTGCATGCAAGTAGAGCTATAAGTAAAGCAAATAAAGAGAAAGGAGAGAGGAAGAGAAAGAGTTTAGAACCTCCAAAGTAAGCTTTTATAAATCTCTTCACAAATTCGTATAGGGGCACTTTTTGGCAGCCTTTCGTTCTACAAAGACCTCATTATCGTTCAAAAATCACAGAGAGGGGATACAATGTGTTAGGGGTGTCAAGGAATGAGCCCTGTGCACACTTTTATAGGCACACAAGGAAGAGGAATGACCATTTTCAACACTGGAACAACTGTTTTGCACCTTAGAACAACACTACATTAGGATAATTGGAAAGACCATTTTGGGTAACAAATTTATGTTGAAAAATTCTATTGGGAATGGTTGTTCTAAGGATGGGAACGGTCATTCCAGTCCCAAATTAGGTTTTTGGCTTTTTTTCATGCAAAAACATCTTTTGAGCTCTCTAGGCTCCGTCTTAGCCCGCTTCTGTGCCTTCCTCGGTCCTCCAGGGCCATTCTTTTTGCTTTAGAAGTTTCCCAACACTTATATGAATAGTCCATACAAAACTTGATGTCTACACTACTTACAACATATTTAAATGAGTTTATCTTCCACTGAAAGCTAAAACTTCATGGTCCAAAGCAAACCTAATAATAAAAAAGATTAAGATATTTATTTAATCAGATGTATCAATTCGATTCTTAAAAATCCAAATTCAAGATTTTAACCAAACTGACTAGAGATTTGCAATTTTCTAATCCAAACCAACTTAATGTTCCTAAACATTCCAAATTTTTTCTTTCAACTTAGTTTCGAGATGTGCTCACCTTAATATTTTTCTTTCACCAAGGTATTAAGAATATCCAATACATATTACATTTGGGGGGGATCGATGCTTGCCCAAAAACAATTAGCAAACATTAAAAGTTTGTTTAGATAATTTATTTTACAAACACTTATAGCATGATTAAATATAAAAAAAAATGAAATAAATTTCTTTATAAGTTAAAATTAGCTTATGCATAAACTAATTTATAAAAGTTATCTCATATTAATTTCTCCCAAAAACCTTTTTTTTAATTTGTGCATAAGTTAAGTTTAACTTATAAAGAAATTAATTTTATTTTCTTTCCCATTTTCTTTTCTTATAAGTGTTTATGAAAAGTTTATCAACACACTATAAGTAAAAGATCATAATTTTGTATTTTCTTGCCCAAGAATCTTCATCACCTACTAGAGAGATAAGATGAGACAACTTATTGGTACAAAATACAAAAATCTTTAAAATATTTATCATTATATATAAATATTAAGATAAATAGAATAATTTATAAATACTACATTTGCTCCTAATTATAAGTCACAAACTTTGATTCTAATTATAAGTAACAATTACCAATTTTTAAAGTTACTTAAGAATAAATATTTTTTTATATTATTAATTTATTATTAAGTCTATTTCTTAATGCATTCACTTACTTCTTATTTATTGAATTATAATTAATATTAATATTAAATATAGGAATCATTTAGAATAAAAGATATATTTGGAATAAATTTAAATTTATGGTAGAGTTAATTAAAAAAATTAATTTAATTATTCCTCTTAGTATCGGTGGTTTGTCCTATATTATTTATAATTAGGATAGAAGATAATATATATATTTTATTTATTTTGAAAGAAAAATAAAATATTTAAGAAAAAACATGATATTACTATATTGAAATTTTATAGAATGAAACTCTGAGTTAACAAAATTATATTATATAAGTTGATTAGAATAAATTTATTTAAGTTTTGATAACTATAATTTACAATTTATTTGTAATAAAGTTGAATTGAAAATAACAATTATTCTCATTAATTAAACATTATTTTTGAAAGGAAAAATAATATAATATTATTTTTGATGGCATTGCAGGAGCAGGGGAAGGAGGGAATCAATTGTGCGAATATGTGGTAAGAAAGGAAACGATGGTGAGGAGTGAGGAGTGAGGAGGATGAGAAATGTGATATCTCAGGACACTACTACTAGACACTCGCGCTCTTTCTTCTCTCTCTTCACTCTCTCATTTTAACTCTCAAGTTCTCAGTTCTCAGTTCTCAGTTCTCACCACCACTACTTTAACTCAACCCTCTCACACACACTCTCTCTGCATCGCAATTCCAACCATTCATACATACCTAAGCCATGGACCCAGTGGAGGTGCTCCCTCCGTGGGTTCCCGAGGACGACCTTCTCCTCAAAAACGCCGTTGAGGTAACTCAATTTCCCTAAACCCTATCCTCTCTCTTCAATTTCGCCAAATTCAGCTCCCAATTAAATGATAATGATAATAATAATAATAAGGGGTCGTTATTTGCTTACTTGCGTTCTTCTGGTGGATTGTGTTTGTGTTGTGTAGAGCGGTGCTTCGCTGGAATCGCTGGCCAAAGGGGCTGTTCGGTTCTCGCGGCGGTATTCGCTTGGGGAATTGCGAGATCGCTGGCGCTCTCTGCTATACGACGACGCCGTTTCGGCCGCCGCTGCCGCCGCCATGGGGAGTTTGGAGCTGGGGAAGTCCGGTGGCTCCGGCCAGGGTGGGGGGAGGAAGAGGAAGGTGCAAAGCGTCAGGAGGCTGTACTACGCCGTGCAGAAGAGACTTCGCCGGCACGGTGGTGTTGCGGCTTCCGATGTGGGGTGTGAGGGCAAGGAGAATGTGGTAATTGATGATAATTTGAGTTTAAATAATGATGTTGTGAATAGTAAAAATGTTAGTAATACTGATAGTTTAGTTGGTTGTGGAAATAACTTGGGGTTAGAGGAAGTGGTAGGGGTAGGGGTAGGGGAATTAAATAATTCGGTGAGGGATGTTCCTTTGTGGAAAACGATTGAGGATGTTTCTTTGCCTGCTATGCCTGTGGAGGGGGAACATTGCGGTTCCCAAGGGACAGGCAAGTGTGGCAATGGTGTGTTGAAACAAAACGCTTCTGATGCTGTGTTGGGAGACGATGCTGGTGACAGTTCTGAATGTCTCTTGAACATGGCAAATGAGGGTGAGCTTCTCTTTATGGATGTGGAGGGGAAGGTGGTGGTGGTTGTGGATAAGGATAAGCCGGGTGATGATAATGTTGATTCGCTTTTGTTGAGTTCTCCCTGTGATGTTCAGGGTAACGATGATGCTGATGGCAGTGAGTCACAGAAGTTGGACGTCGAAGCAAAACTTGCTGTGCCTAGTGAGTGTTTGTCTGCTGGGTTGGAGGTTGTTTCTGGTTCCTTAGGTGTCAGTCGTGGGGATCAGGGTTTTGTTTCTGATTCTGAAAACGATGCTGGATCGTCTGCTGCAGCGCGAAGTCCTCACCCGGAAGACAGTGAGGGATTTGTGATCTGTATGTTGAACACTGAGGACCCTGATATCCCGTGCAATGACACTGTAGTTGAATCCATTGTAGTTTCTCATTTGGCAGATCTGAAATCCCAACATGTTGTTAAAGAGGTGGGTTATTCGGAAAGAATTGAACCAGACAGAAGCCTGAAGAAAGAAGCTGTTCTTTCTCAGTCTTTTGGAGCACAAACAGTTCGACAGGGGTTAGGGCCTACTGTGAATTCAAGCTACCCACCTGTTGCTCTTGGACCAACTGAAAATCCTGGAAAAAACTCTATATCTGCAGTTTCTAGACAGAATAACAATGTCAATGTCAACATCAATCCAAGTCACAGCAGATTAGTTCGTCCAACTGTGATGCCTGCCTCAGATGGACATCTGAAACAAGTGGTAAAATATGTTGATTCCAGGATGCTTTATTATAGTAAAATTTGTTAGGGAACTAATTTATGAGTTTACTTTTATTTAGAAATTTTAACTAAAGTTGTATCCTATAAACAGGAAACTGATGCTCCAGCTTCTGCTGAAGTTCACGCACATGTGAAGGCAGAGGAACATAATGCTTTATCTAAGTCAGAAGCAAAATCATTATCTCTCGATCAGGAAGGAGGTGATATTGAAGATGATGATGCCAACAATAATGATGATGATGAAATCCCTAACTTTTCTGATGTTGAGACAATGGTAAGCATAATGTTTTGCATTGAATGGTAATAATTTCCCGTATTTACTTGTTAGGTTATCTCTCATATTCTTGAATTGCTTGCTCAGATTCTTGAAATGGATTTATGTCCAATGGATCAAGATACAAATACCAGTAAAGAAGGTAATTTACCTAACTCTAGATTAAACAAAATTATCACACTTCTGTTTAATGTTTTGAATTTGAAAGGAGCAGCCTGTTGCACTAGGTTCCCTACCTACCATGTGGAATCTAGGGAGGGCCAGTTTTACAAAACTTTACCACTGTAAGTGGAGCGGTTGTTTCATGCTTTCAGTGACTAGAAGTCTAAACCTATGACCAACCTGGTCATAAGGCAGAAAACCTTACTGTTGTGGCCCAACTCCCTCTGCTTAAGGCTTTTAATTTTTGTTCAAAAATTGTTAAAAGTTGAAAATTAAATGTTTGAAATTTTGAACGAAAATGAAAATTTTTTGTTTGGTTTTTAAGTTTTTGACTTATGAGTTTGTTTATAATTGAATAAGCTTTCTGTGTATTGATAATATGCTGGTTGGTTCCTGCTAAAGTTTCAAATAGCAACTGTGATGTTTAAAATATAGATTCAAATACTGTGCTCTGAATTTGTATTACTAACATTGTTCCTCATTGGATTTATCAATGTCTAGGTATTTTAATGATGGTTGTCTTCTAATATTATAATGTTCTGTTACAGTCTTGAGATATCAACATGAAGAAAGTAAGAGGACCATCATGAGATTGGAGCAAGGTGCTCAGTCCTCTATGGGAAGAGCCATTACATCTCGGGATGCATTTGCAGTATTGTATGGGCGCATTCTGAAGAAGTATATTAGAAAAAGCAAGGTGGAGTTTTTGAATTTGGATCTCTTGTTTTCTTCTAAAATATGAAAGAATGATTTTCCTATATTTTCTTCCTCCTATGTAACTGTCACGATTCACGAATCTTGTTAATTTTCCTTTTAAATGTGTTTGATACTTTTTTAAGGAATGTTTGCATGCTATAATGATTTCTGCACTAAGATTTTCTGTCTTGCATTATTATGATCTAGATATCATTGCATAATCATTAATGCTTTAGCAGGGAAAAATAGAAACACACTAGCTTTAAGTGGTCTTGTGACTAGTGGATGTTAATATTTTTTCCGAGTTTCAATGGTAGTTGAGGATCTTATTTCTATTTGTTGCTCATGCCTTTTGTGGCTACCATTGTTTTAATTTAATTTGTGTAAAATCAATGGGTTCTGTAGTGGCACTGGGATCTGCATCTCTGAAAATTTATTGACCTTTAGTTTGAATGGTATGTCCTTTGAGTGTGTCTTAAACACCAAATATAATATTCTGATTTTGGTGTTTGCCTAATTAGTACTGTTCCTGTAGTTTGTGATGTTTATTCCCAATATAAAATATGAAAGACTCTCTCTCTGTACAATCTCTTTCTATTTCACAGGTTATACTTGGCAGAGAAACAGCTGATGTACATGTGGATATTGACTTGGGAAAAGAAGGGCAGGCCGCTAAGAAAATATCTAGAAGACAGGTAAGATTTCTCAGAAGTTTCAGGTGCAAAATTCCTGTGCATGGTTGATTTTGGTGATGATTTATAGGCCCTCTTAAGTTCATATATTTCTTTTTCCTGGAGAGCACGGGGAAATGGGAAGGCTGGTATTATTGTTTGAAAAAAAGAGCATGAAATAATCTTTGACTTCACCAATAATAAATCACTATTAAAGGATTGGTATGCTTCTGGAGAAAGACAAATGACAATTTCTTAAAAAGGTGTTATTAATCTATTTGGAACGTGATTATGTTCTTATGAATGTTTTGGTTATTGAACCAAATAGTTTTATGGTGATGTCTCGATTTGTATCATTTTCGCTAAGTATGAGCCCAATATAAAACAAGGACTAGAATAGTATTTGTATTCATGGAGAAAGTCAAGAAATTTTAAATCATGTCGTTTTAAAATTTTAAATTTCCTCGACTGAATTATAGTAGTATGAACAATGAATTATTTTTTATCTGATAGGCTATAATAAAGTTGGAAGCAAATGGTTCTTTCATTATTAAAAATCTTGGTAAGAGATCTATCTTCTTGAATGGCAAAGAAATTGCTACAGGACAAGCGCGGGGTCTTAGTGCTAGTAGTGTGATCGAGGTAACTGTCTTTCCTTTCTATTCATAAACAACTTTTACATTATAATGCTGCAATTTTGTTCTTTATCTTGAGAACATAACAATTTGTAGTAAATGAATTCCATGCAGATTAGAGGCATTTCACTCATCTTTGAGATCAATAATAGGTGCGTTAGGAGGTTTTTAGAAAATTTGAATGAAAAGCTATGAAGATAAAAGGAAGACATTTACCTTGTTTGCCCGAGAGGGGGTCTGTAAGAACAGAAATGGCGTCCAAGTTTGTATGTTTAGGATTTTAGGATAGCATTCTCATGCCAGCCAAAAGTAGAAGTTATACCAGCTATTATATAATATTAATGTGTTGTCGATGGAAAATCAGAATTCAAAGTGTACATATGGATAGAAGATGAAAAGGCTTCATATAGATATATAATATATAATATGGCTGCTGTCCAATGGGAACTGGTTATTGTCTTGTATGTTTCTTATTTCCCATATGATGTAATAGGATTTATTTAGTGCAACAGACGTCTGTACCCAACTAGGAATAATCATCAATAAATAATTAATAGAAGTATGTTATGGTTTCCAACAAAACTATTTCAATTTAATATAGGGTTTGTAATGCAACCTTATATTTTGAGGTTTTCATCTAAATCCTTATTTATTATGGTGGAATTGATGGCCCCGTGAAACCCATTTAATTATCCAACTGGTAAGTACTTCAGTATGTATACAGTCATTCGTTGCATAGCATATCACCCGCAAGGGACGCAAGCTGGGAAATTTGTTCAAGTGCGACATTGCATTTTGAAGACTACCAGCAGCAACTACATGGTTTGCACAAGTTAGCAACAAATGAATCTAGGACAAACCTTGTTTATCGGATTTCAGTTCTCTAAGCCGTTGGTTAAGGAGATCCTATCCTAGGTGAAACTGACCTCGTAGAGAAATGTTGAGGTGAAAAAGTTACACAAGATGACCCCTTTTGAAATACAAATATTGAACGAGTATATCAACATAAATACTGAAGATAATGAATATGGAATGAAGATAACCAAACACCAAAGCACTGTTCAGCAGCAATAAATTTGGCTATAAATTAGGCCGATTTCAAAGCAATTTTCTGCATATTCCAATGGGACAATTGAAAAAATAAAATTATCAGATGTTGAAGCTTCATTTTAGAAACTGAATTCTATGAATTCAGCACAAACTAATGGAGCAAACGTCCGTCGGAGCAATGATGAGAATAAGACCGGTAGTCCTTGATCAATACAAAAACCACATTATGAAAATTATCTAATGGAGCTAGAAAAAAAAATAGTCATTGATCGGTTATTAAATGTTAGCTGGGGAGAGGTAATACGTGTCTCTGTTATTTAAAAAAAAAAAAATAGCCGATTAGTTAGAAGTTTACCAAAATTGAAAAAAAACAAAAAATTAAATCTATAATCTAAAATCTAGAATTTATACTAATATAAATGGAATGCTTTTTTTTAGTAATCACCTTGGTTTTCACATTTTGTTGACCAGTTAAAAAAATAATTAAAAAAATAATATTTTTAATCAAATTTAAAAACTTGAAACTAATGAATTAATTATAATACCAGTTAGATCAATATACTTTTATTACTTAATTTTTGTTTTTATTTTGTCTTTAATAGAGACAAGAAGTGTCTCAGACTCCCTTAGTTAACATAAAAAAAAGTGTTCCGTGAGTAGTATGTGTTTCCATGAATTATATAATAGTCGATGATTATTATAAATAACATTAGTTATGAAGTGAAATATAAAAAAAATGTAATTTATAAAAAGATAGTTATCAGGATAAGATTGTCTAAAAATGTAGATATCAAATTGGACAATCTCCTTTATTATTTATAACTAAAATTGATAATAAATTATATAAATAAATACTATGTTTTAATACATAAATTATGTTTAAAATTTGTATAAATAGATATTTAAAATATTTTTAGGATATTTTTGTTAGAGAAAATTATTTAAAAACACTCTCACACAAATAAGACTTTGTATTTAATATATAAGGATTAATTGACTTAATATAATGAATAAAAAGATCCTTTTTTATCAACAATAAAAAAGATTATAATCGTCACTACAAAATTTAAAATTAAAAAATTCTAAAGTATTTTAGTGGAAAAAATTAAAAAATGATTATTTTATGTTATAATTAATTATTTATTATACAAATAAATTGTAATAACTATATTTATTATATCTAATTGACTTGGTACGTTTTTTTATCTTAGAGATTTAGGGTGAAAAGTAACATAATAATGTAAACTTTTTTCCTCCATTATTTTTATATATAATATTATATTTTAATACAATATAACATATATATTATTAATTCATATAAAATATGTAACTTTGTAAGTTGTAAAGCATTGTAATTGTTTTAATTATATGTTGGTTGTTGTGTTGAAGTGTTGTTCTATGTTGAAGAACTTTAGAATTTGAGAATTTCTTGAGTTTCTGTAGTGTTAGGGGTTTATCTAGACAAAAGTACAATTTAACCTCAAGGGGAGGAATATATAAGATTTTTATTTTGAATGAAGCTTCATAATTTCAATTCTTCGAGAACTTAGAGAAACCAATTCTAGAGAGAAGTGTTCTGGTTTGTGAGTTTCATTTTTCTCTCAAACTTCTCTTGTAGAATGTTTCTTCCCCTAATCTCACATAACTTTTGTTGTTGTGATTCCAGGTAAGTAGAACCTTGAATTCGGGTAGTAATTTGTTCATAGTAGATATGGAGTAGCTTCGTGTTCTTCATATATATATATATATATATATATATACATATATATATATATATATATTAATTCATATAAAATATGTAACATTGTAAGTTATAAAGTGTTGTAATTGTTTTAATTATATGTTGGTTGTTATGTTGAAGTGTTGTTCTATGTTGAGGAACTTTAGAATCTGAGGATTTCTTATGAGTTTCTATAGTGTTGGGGGTTTATCTAGACAAAAGTCCAATTTAGCCTCGAGGGGAGGAATATATAAGATTTTTATTTTGAATGAAGCTTCATAATTTCAATTCTTCAGAAACTTAGAGAAACGAATTCTAGAGAAAAGTGTTCTGGTTCGTGAGTTTCATTTTTCTCTCAAACTTCTCTTGTAGAATTAATGTTTATTCTCCCCTAATCTCACGTAACTTGTGTTGTTGTGATTCCAGGTAAGTAAAACCTTGAATTTAGGTAGTAATTTGTTCAAAGTAGACATGGAGTAGCTTGGTGTTCTTCTTCTCTTCTTTTTCCTAGTTCTCTTTCATTTTGAGGTAAGAAAAACTTAAAATTCTTAATATTATGAAGTTGTTGCACTGTTGTGGTTGATTTCAATTCAAGTTGCTACTGAGTTGCATGATTTTAAGTAGAATGACCCAGGTTAGGATTTTGAGTTTTAAGCATGTTAGAACGAAAGATAGTGATTTGATTTATAATTGTTGCATGTTGAACTTGAGTGCATTTATATGTTGGTTGTGATGTATTTAGTTGATTTATAGTGTTTCATGCTTGGAAGTTATTGACTTTCGGGAGGATTAAGCACAATTCATGATCTACATAAGTGTAGAACTTGCATTGCACCAGGTGCTGTTTTAACATGGGGTTCTTTGTCTTGTATTACATAATAGGGATACAAATGCTTATAACCACCATTTGGTCTCCACTTTTACTATGATCTTTTTACCCTTAATAATATTACATATCAAACAATTAATATAAGTAATCATGTTATTTTGTCTCTATAATTTTTTAATCATTTATTTTTCACCAAACTCTTTTAGCCACACACTATTTAAGTAACTGATCTATTTTATTTTTTTTAATTGCATACTAGAAGAATTGAGGCACTTCATGCATCTAATAATTACACAAACGGTTATATTTTTTAAAAAATACATTTTTTCTATTTTATCATTTATTTATAAGAAATTACTGCATAACTGAATGGACAAAAAAGTTTAAAAAAAAATTAAAGATAAAAGTAATTATTTAAAAATGTATATGTAACTGGATTTATTACTCGCACTTTCACAATTCCATTTTCTCACGCTTACTAATTTCCCTGTTTCTGCAAGAATTTAATGTCCACGATCATACGCTTTTTCTTTCTCTTTCCGTGATTCTTGGTATGCACTCTCTTGATCAGTTTCGCCTCTCTCTCTGATCTTTCTCGCTTGAAGTGTGCATACTATGTAGGTAATGTTATTTTGAACTGTTATGTGATGTTGACATGTTGAAATTGGATTCATAATAAGATGAAATTTATGCGTACATTTCATGATAGCCTCCCATCAAGGATTGTAATTAAGTTTCACGCTTCATTTTGTATTTTCATTATCTTTGCTACAATAATATTATTGAGTGTCAAAGGTGGGCACAGAAAAAATTGCTATGATAATTAAGTTTGACTTTTCATTATTGGCCATTCTTTTGTTTTTTTCTTCCTATTTTTTTTCTTTGTGCATAATCAAACTTTCATTTGTTCATGGAAAGTTGTACCCAATGTTTTAGATTCATGTATGAACTTTGTCTTTAATTATTCTTTTTTAAATTATTTCATTTTATTTTCTGATATGGTTGAGTTTGTGATTTCAGGATTAGATTTTTTTATTCAAATTGTTTATGAGGGTTTTATTTTTCATATAACTGCAATCAAAAAAGGAAATAACTCTTCTAATATATTTGTGGAATAATTCTTTACCAGTTGGATTAAGGAACTACTACAAAATCACGATCATTTCTATGGGAATGGTATTTATTTTTTTAAAATAAAGGAAACTACATATGCAATTGCATTGATTCTTTGCTTATTAAATTTTATCCCTAAAATTACTTATTTTGTCTTTCATTATACTTTTTTTTAAAAGACAAATCATAAATTTTATTAATAACACTAAAGAAAGGTACAAATAACACAATTTGGCCAAAATAAGCCTGATACAAAGGAAGTAAAAAAAAAAAAAAAAAATGTCAAGTATAAGTTGTTGTCAATTAATTAATGGTGATATTCTCATATCTAATGTGCAACCTTGACCATCACCCACCCATAAAATTTGGAGAATTTGAAGATTGTTAAAATAATTCTAAGAACTCCTATGTTACAATATTTCCTTCCTTCTTTATTTTTTGATTTTTTTCTTTGTGAACAATCATACTTTGATTTATTTGTGACAAGTGAATTTGAGTTCAAAAAATTTGTTTTGATTTTTCTAGATTCATTTATGATATTTGTCTCATATTATTCATTTTTAAACTATTTGTTTATTATTTATTGATATAGTTGATTTTTAGTTTCTATATTATATTTTATTTTTTTTTTGAGGATTTTAATTTTTGATATAGGGTTTTATTGGAAGCTTAGAGAAAAAAGATTTATTCAAAGTTGCTTCTTTGATGACTTTGGGTATGTACTCTAGCTTCTTTTCTTTCTTTCTTTATACTCTTTCTATTAGACTGAATTAAGTGCATGTTTAACTCTTTCTGTTGTTTCCAAAATTCTATATGTGGTATATAGACATTTATAGTTTCTCAATATTTAGAAATTTATATTGTATTTTAA